AGAGCCCTCACTTGGCATGTGGGAGACCTAGCACCTAATTTGGAGCCAGATCTTCATCCTGGGTCTCCCACATTGCAGGTAAGTGCCCCATCCACAGGGCTATTGAGTCGATCTCTCCTGTTGGAGCTGTGCCATTTGTATAGATAATTAAATATTGGGGGGATAGGGTGAAAGAGAGCAAAAGTGATACCTACACTATAGCCCAGGGGCTCAGACACTCATCTATGCTGTGGGAAACCCAAGTTCCAGTCTCTACAGCCCTATGGGATGTAATCATGTATTCAAAATAAACAGCTCCAACCTGAGAAACATAGATGGTATAACCTGGGGGGCTAGAGACTTGAAGTGAGTTATTGGCTATTCTAGAAATGGAGGGGGTGTTTTTCTTTTTTGTGTGCAATGTTTTTTTTGGGGGGGAAGGGGTGTTCTCACCTCCTCACACACATTTCCTGCTGTGTCAGTTTCATCCTGATGTGGAACAAACAAACAAACCTTCCAGAAACTTTGAAATGGGTATACAAAGTTCTTTAAACTTTGAATGGATATAATTGGTCTTCTAGCTACCTACACTATAGCCCAGGGGCTCAGTTACTCATCTATGCTGTGAGAAACCCAGGTTCCAGTCTCTACAGCCCCATGGGATATAATCATGTATTCAAAATACACAGCCCCAACCAGGGAAACATAGATGGTATAACCTGGGGGGCTAGCTTGCCTGGGATGAAAGCAGAGACTTGAAGTGAGTTATTGGCTATTCTAAAAATGGAGGGGGTGTTTCTCTTTTTTTTGTGCAGTGGTGTCCCAGGTATCACTGGGAATGGGATAGGAGAGAAAGGAGAACAATAAAATGATATTTATTTCTTTTTAACTGTTATTTCTGTATTGGCAGTGCCCCTTTAAATTGCACAAAGGTTCTACTGATTGGGAGTGCTCAAGCCACTTTCTTGGAACTGTTTTTTTTTTTTTTTTAACCTCATTCCTTGTCAGTTACAAGTAGAAGTGATCTGGTGGCTGTTAAAGGTCTAAGTGCTTGTAGCTTTTGCTCTCCTGGCTCACACAAAAGCAAGAAGGCTGAGCAACTTCCTGTTCAGTATGTGCATTTTAATAGCTTGGTATTTTAAATTAGTGACACATGGCAAGTGGATCAATTTGATGGAATACTAAAAAGGTGCAGAAGACAACCATGCTTCAGCTTGATGCACTGACATGCCAACACATAGGGGTAGAAGTAAGTCACCTCTGGGCAACAACAGTGTAAAGGAGACAATCTGTTAATTGGGATAAAATTGAACCAATCACACAGCCACCATTGCCTCGATCCCTGAATACCGCCAAGAGCAGATCAGAATGTAGGCCAGGCCTTAGACTGTAAGCTTCTCAGGGCAAGGACTCAGTCTTCTTTTTCTGTAAAGCAACATATACACTGATGGTGCTGTACAAAGAAAAACAGTAGGATGTTCTGTTCCCAATCCAGAGTTGTGATTCAAGCCCCTCTCTGATGTGAACATAAATACCATTTTCAATGTACAGGCTGGAATAAGGCAAGTGGATAAAAAGATGCAGGTGGCCTGTACATATTAAATCACAAGAGATGATGAGGGACTTGCTCATTTAAAGAAATGCATCCATCCTAGTCCTTCCAACACAGTAGCAAACCACAAGAGGGCAGCATCATTTAAGACTTCACATTTCAAAAGGAAATCTGCACAATACTTTCAAAAGAGGAGCGGGGGGAAGCAGAGGACTTAAATTCATAACTCTGCTAGATACTAAAAACCATGGACTGAACAGAGACACTGGATTTATGGCTTAGTACAACAATCTGTAACCCACTAAGTCCCTTGTTTTGACCTATGACTGCAGAGCTGCTCTACATTGAATGGTCCCTTACAATATGTGCTAACTACTTATGCTATACAATCTGTTCGACCTTGCATTTTGCTGTGATGCTGGGAGTTCCTTTCCCAGACCTGAAGAACAGCTCTGTGTGGTTCAAAAACTTACCTCTCTCTCCAACAGAAGTTGGTCCAATAAAAGATATTACCTCACCCTGCTTGTCCTTACTTCCTAGTCCAAGCCTTCCTTGCTTCACAACAGCCCATCTACGAGTTAATTAACAGGGGGAATGGTATGGAAAGTAATCAGAATTAACATTCAACCGTTATAATCTCAAAGCTCTTTACAAAGGCAGGCAAGTATCATTTCCCCATATTCTAGAGTGGGAAACTGAGGCACAGTTTAGTGAACTGACTCTCAGTCAAGTGCCCCATACACCAGATCACGGTTAAACCCTTGACAGCCCAGAATTCTGAATGCATGCTGCTCATTAGGTACTCTGATACAGAAGGAACCATTGCAGCTTTTAAGAACGAGGAGTACTTGTGGCACCTTAGAGACTAACACATTTATTTGAGCATAAGCGTTCATGGGCTAAAACCCACTTCATCGGATGCATGCAGTGGAAAATACAGTGGGAAGATATATATACACAGAGGACATGAAAAAATGGGTGTTGCCATACTAACTATAACGAGAGTAATCGGTTAAGGTGGGCTATAATCAGCAGGAGAAAAAAATCTTTTGTAGTGATAATCAGGATGGCCCATTTCCAACAGTTGACAAGAAGGTGTGAGTAACAGTAGGGGAAAAAATTAGCATGGGGAAATAGGTTTT